GCTTACACAAATATTGAATTTTATGTTTCACAACTTATGAAAGCCATATTTGGTTAAATCTATTGGGCAATATTTTCCCCGCTTTATTTGCACTTAAAAATTGCGTAAATATTCAATGAGGTTAAATATTTTTTTCAATTGGTTTTTTTGTGTGTACCAGTAAATTTTCGAATAAAATTATGCACTTTGGTAAAAAAATTAAGTAAACTGACCGCTGATTGATGGGAGTATAAGTGTATATACATATGTATTTATATACATATATGTATGTACATATGTAATATCATACAAACAAAACCTTTTGGCGAGCAAAGTTATGCTGGAAAAAAAATGGAATATTTAGTGCAATTTGGCGTTACGATCAGCAGCACGTCGCACTCATTCCTATATTGTATATTGTATATGTATGAAATTTTATAGTTCTTGCTCTCATATATGGTATTTGTAAAGGTTTCCTCAAGGAAAAACGTATTAACCCAGATTCAGATGATATTTTACTGAATTAACTTCTAGCGCACTCTGATAGCTCAAGTACCTGTGTAAAAGTGTCGCTTGTCCGACTAAAGACTATTTTCATAAAGAAACATCATTATTCTAATATAATCGATTGCTTTCCTGGCTGTGATGTATTAAAAAATCTTTTTTTTCAAGCTTTGACCAAACATTGAAAACTATCACCTATTTTACTTTGATTTCGGGGTATAAGTCTTCGATTGAAGATAATGTGAAAAGTTTAAGGTCGGAATATAGTTGTTATAATATGAAAATGGCGATAGTAAGAATAATCTACAAAACTTTTCTATTTACTATAAATTTGCTTTGGATTTTCCCGGTATCTATAACTATGTAGAGTCCAATTAAAAGATTCGTCAAAGACGAATATATATATTCTGGGAACTTGTTTTAAAACTTGTTCAATGCGCGCAGTAGACAAATATATTTATGGTGAATGCTTTTTTCATATAAAAATTAACTACTTGTAGTTGTGTTAAAATATATTTGTAAGAAAGCTTTTTCTTTGACCATAACTTTCAGCTAAAATCAATAGACAGGTCAAAATAGCTCTGATTAATGCATTACAGATATTGAATATCAAAAAATTTGCATTACTTTTATATTTCGTGGAAAATTTCAAAAATTTTCCGAAACAACTTCGACTATTTGTAGAAAAATCGCACAGTGAAAGTTTACCAATAACAGAGCTTTCATTATTTTCTTTGTACAATTCAGCTATGCATATTTTCTTTGAGGGTTTTATGCCGCACAGGTATACTTGTATATGTATGTTCCTATGCACCTTTATATGTATTTATAAGTTCAATTATTCAACTGTGATACTACCGCCGCCAGCGAGTGTACATAAGTTGCTTGAGCTTTAGTTGGCAATATGCGTAAAATATTGCGCGAATTTATATCGCATGCGACTTATTTGTTTTCCAAAGCGTTTTTGTGCAATTTTGAAGTTTTTCTGCGTTTGCACGACTTGTTGTTTTTGTGGTAGTACCGCTTTTTATGATGACTTAATGGCTGTTGCACACCAAATAAGGCAACATATCGAACAAAAACTCACTCGCCGACTGGGGAACACTTTCTGCCGGACTGACTGGCGGCCTGTGCTGGCAACTGTGACGGAAAAAGGTGTAGGCACCATATATATGCATGTATGTGTGTGTCTGTGTGTCAAATAAAAGCGAATCGAATAAAAAGTTTGCGAAACAAAAACGGAATAAAATGCCGCGCTGCGCAAAATTGTAGTTGAAATATAAATATGAAAGCTGCGGTATAAAAAAAGAGTTGAAATAAAGCGATGAACAACAAAGCAGAGATTCAGCGGTGGCAATGAAACGCAACCGCCAACTACAAAACACCGTAAAGTGACCGAAAAAACGTCAGCAGCGCGAAAGCACGGAAAAAATATTAATAAAGCAGAAAGTTATAAAAATAAAAACTACCGAAATGAAGAGTTAAAAAATCAATCGGCAACCATAAAACATTGTTCGGAGTTTCGCAAGTGTACAGCTATACATATACTATATATATTACAAATTGTGGCAGCATTGTGTGTGTAAAATGACCGAATGGCCCCATCAAAATGCAAAATGCGACATTGCGCTGCAATAAAAAGTGACTTTATTTTTATCGCTACCAAAGCGGTTATTGTAGTGCTTGTTTTTATTATGGTATTGTACGTTGGTGACGTTGTCAACGCTGATTGAAGATGAGCTGTTGCAACAGTGCGCAATATTTTATGATGGACAATGCAACCATGCGCCGCTGACTGGCGGCTACAGACACAGTGGCGCGATTGCGAAGTATATCAGGAATTTCAATTAGTCAAGAGTCCGAAAGCCGTTTTTACCTTTTGCAGTTTGACAGTCAAGCTCAATGGCCGAAATTCCAATACCTTAACAAGAGTTGCTGTATGAATCCCATTAATAGATCAATATCTTATGGGTCCTCAGAGCGGCAAATGAGTTTTCGTTAAGACGTTTGTGTGAGAATTGCTATACATTAGTACGAAGCTTAGGAAACGTCAGAGAAAATTTGGGTCTCCAGACCTATAGGTAGGTCACCTGGTAAAGAAAAACGATAATAGATCTGTTAAATATTCTTTTTCTGCGAATATTTTAAGAAATTTATCGATGCTGCGATTTTATATAAAGAAACTTTTTAGTAAACTGTTCCAAAATTTTCCCAAAAGTTTTAAAACCTTTCTGATTCTGACATTTTTGAGATCAACATACACTACTATACTTAAGAGAGTTATAAAATCTGAATTTAATAAGTGCTGGGATTTCAGCGAACAGCAAATCTAGAAACAGAATCGTTAAATATTTGTATCGTGTGATTACTACTATATTAGCATAAACTCAGTGAAGCCCAAGTTGTACGGAATAGTGTTACTTTATCGGCTAAAGTAGCGTCATCAATCATCAATATAGCTTAAAAAAAATTCGAACGAGAAGAGGTCTTACAGTAGCAGACTTGATAGTAGTTCCTTGTTCGTTTTCTTGAAACTGTAATTCTCAGTTTTAGAGACCTGATTTATATTCCATTTAGGTTCGATTTAAAGACTAATAATACCAGCAATATATTACCTAATTATGTATAACATTTCTGTGCTAATCTTGAATGGTCGAAAAGAGGGCCCCAAAACTTAATTATTTTTGAAGAAATTTACTCAACAAGACTCCACAGTTATAAGCCTTTTTATGGCAAGGTAAATGGAATTTCATTTACTACCAAAAATGACAAGAAATAACGTGATGACACCATCATGAATGTCACCACCAACGTTGATTCGTACCTGACTCTAAGTGATACATATAGCTACACACACATTCATATAAGGAGAAGAGTAATCTCTGCGTACAAAATATCCACGCACAGACAATTCCCAAATGCTTTTGCCATTTCATTGAAATCAATCAGAAATTCGCATATACTTTTATTGACGTACAATAAATGATAACGAACATTGGCAGCAATACAATGCAATGCCATTGCCGAACGAGCGCGCAAATGGAGAATCGAACACACATAGCGGACAAATGAGCAGTGTTGATTATCTATCTGACGCATACAGTGTAGCACAGGTACGACGAATACGCCAGTGAGTGCGGCATGTAGTAAATAGTCAATTTGACAAACAAATGACACGCATTTACAGTTCGATTGTTGGATTTAATGTTAGAATTATGTAGAAGTAATATGCATAATGGCGACACACAGTCTTCCATTTGTTTTTGGGATAACGGTTTGGCGAAATGTCAACTACCTCGTTAAAGAGGCACACATTCCGCAAATTGCTGTTATGCACATATTGTATTTGCGAGGCAATAACTTGCAATGGCTGGCAGACGAAGATCATCGTTGTCGATGATGATGCCATCAGCGGCAGAAATATACAAATACTTGTATAATTCCATCAGCAAAAGCATACTCGAATCACTAGTGGCAATTTTATTGATAATTTTTGCATTCTCAACAGAATTTGCGAAATTTTTATGCTTTTGTTTGCGCATTTTCAACTGCCTTATAAGCATCTCATTATTATTATTATTACTATATTCCATACTTTATTGTAAACATTTGCTTTTTATGCAAGTCTTAATGCAGCATGCCATACTTGAAGGATTTATACCTCTATATGTAGATATTTCCAATGCTGATAAAGACATATTTATGAGATGCAATGATAATTTAATTAGCACTTGTGTAAAAATTCCTACTTCTTGAAATATTTTGGTTTATTTAGGTCATATTCTATATATGTATAGTTGTTTGCATATTGATGAATATGGTTGAGAACCTGAACTAGAACTGCATTGAATTGACACCAATAATAAATGTAAGCCCTTACTCGACGACATACTTGTATAACTACAATATACCGTTATAGCTTTGATTCGTTTGTTGCACAAGCTGATTCTATTACCCTGGCTATGAATAGCTACATATAGATATGTGAGATTTAAGAAACCTTTGCCATGACAAGAATCTCAAGACATAGAACGACTTGATTAATATCAATAATTCCTACTTAATTTTCAAGAAAGGAACTCAGGCCTAGGAACTCCTTCTGAATTGAATAGCACAACCTTCTGGTGGAACCTTAAATCAATTTAAAAAACTTCTGCACTGCCTTCAACTTTATCTTAAGCCAATATAAATATTTTCTCAATCGTTCGCTCTTCTGCCTGCAACTGCCCTTCATTCCTTTTAGTAGCAAAAATTTCTTCCTCACTAAAGTCTCCATGTAGTATAAATACCTAAGGAATGTTACACAGAAATAACCTCAGAACCGAACAAAACTCTGAGAGTCCGACAGAATTTAAGGTATATGTTTTAATGCTAAAAATACTGTGAGTTTCTAAAACCAACAACCCTATAGTAAATCATAGTAAAATAGTAACCAATTTAGAATAAGTTAAGATTTCTCACGCTTAGAGCTCTTTTAGCTGACATAAAGGTCGCTACAAATATTAATACAAGAGCAGGCAGATACATAATTATTTATTGGCTTTTCAGTAATGACATATGACAGGAAACTCCGTGAAGCAATCTACATCATCCCATTGGTGGTCCACATACAGTCTTGAACAGCGTTGGTTACCGCCCTTATTATCAGGTTGGCCCAACTGCCAGTTTTCAAAAGAGAGTGGCCGACCTCTTAAGCCCCAACGGAATGTTGTATTGTCTTCCAAACGATTGGCAGCTAACCAGTAATTTTTATTCTGCAACTCTAAGAATTAGAAAGGAAGTTAAGATATAATATATATATATATAGGTATATATTATATATATATATTTCAAAAGAATTTACTGTAATGTTGGACCATTTTTTGGAATTCTCGGTTATCAACTGACGACTCCAGTGTAAGCAGTTCCATGCCAAGTTGAGTACAGAAACCATAGGCGGCAAACCAATTCATCTGCAAAAAATTTTGATTATTATATATTCATATACTTTTACTAAATTAATTTCCACTCACTTTGCCCACGCTAAATACTATGCCATCTCTACTAAAAGCAGAATCTGCGTAAAAAATATAAATATTTTAGTATATATTTAATTTTCTTTTGACATAATTTTACCGTACTCCGTTTCGTCATTATTGTTTTTTGCTTCTAGGACATATATTTGAGTAACAAAAATAAGCAGCAGCAAATGTGCTAGCTGCTTCATTGTTATAGAATAAAAGTTCGCTGTTTGAACTAGAACCGAATTATGGAGTATAGTCTTGTTATATATTCATATATTAATAAAGTAATATAATATATGATTATAGGTAATACAAAATTTCACACAAGCAATCAAAGTGTAGAAAAGTTGAACACCATGACGAAATTATAAAATAAGGAAGAGTTTAGGTGGCTGGAGTCGCTAGTCAGCTATTAGATATACTGTTTAAAATTCAGAGAGTTATCAAAAATATATTACGTTTTTAAAAATCTTTCCTAGTTATTTCGGGTTAGATGTAGTTCTACCAAGGCAGTCTTAACATAACCGGAATCGACTTGTATCAGCATAAGACCTGTCAGTAGTGAAATTTTTATCAAAACTTTAGCAACAACGCTCTAAGACTTACGAAAAATATTAACCTAAACCACTAAATTTTTTTCATGGTTTACACTTACTTTGTTACTATCTAAGGTAAACATAATTTTTATGACTGTGAGTAAAGTCATCTAGGAAATTTCTCACAATCTATTTGAACTGATTTAAAACAGTTTTTATTTATATATACTTGTAATAAGGAAGTAAATTCATGTAATTAAACTCTCCTATTTCTAATTGAAATGAAGCTATAAAAGCCAGCAACAATTAATACTTTTGACATGCAGCGTAAAATTTAGCAATACAGTCTTCATCATCCCACTCGATAGATTTAAATAACTTCATGCAGATTTTTAATATATAATATGTTGATTGTTGATCAACTTGGTCAGTATTTCATATAGTGGTCTTTTTTTTATCACTCTGTCATCAAAATATCTTGGCATCAAAATAATTTGATAATTACTGTTCAAATAAATGAAAGTACAAATAAAGGGTGATCAGTGACGGATCTCGGTAGTGTTCGTTTCAAAGATTTCATCTGAAGTAGAAGACAACTTGATGAACACACATCATACTATGTTGTCTTCTGTTTCAGATGAAAACACTTAGCAAGAAAAAAGTCTAGGTCGCAGCACGGAGGTTATTAATCAAGACCAAACCAAAATCAAAATCTATGTTCCGTTGCCGTTCTGATAGCTAATAGGCTCATTATCTTGTAAGTGACCAAGATAATACGCTAAAATAGTGAACTGTCTACAATGAAAGAACTTTTATTCGATTATTTAACGAGTTCAGGGCGGTGAAACAATAAAATTAAAGTATCTGGAGGTGTTAGTGATATTTCGTGCATATTTAAAAAACTGTAGCTAACTTCAATATAAATTCTTCTTATGAGCTGGAACATACAACAGTGCCGTCCAAATATGTACAAGTATTCATTCATAATACACATTACACATAATGGAAGTGAGTGCGATACTCCCTAATAAAAAAGCGTAATGTTCCGTTTTGAATTTCAAGAGATTTGGTGGCAGCTCAGATAGAGAGAGTTAGAAAAAAAATTCAGTCAGAAGACAAACAATTATAATATTTGAGAATAAAGTAAGCTATACTTTTAAGCGAAAGATTTCTTTCTATATACATATATGTATATATATGGGATCAGATACTCAAGTATTTTATGTATTTATTTTGATAGCTTAAATAGGTATATCCTTCTCGCTTCTAATTTCGTTATTTTTATTAAATCTTCTAAATTCACATGATTTTTTCTATATTTACGAATTTGTTACTCATCGCGAGGCCGCAGCACTCTTCTAATCACTTTGTTTTATTTACGAAACAATATTTTCCCAAACACACGCACACTCAATGTTTGGTAATAGGAAATAATCGGTGATGGATGACTTTCACTCACAATAAATATAAACAAATAAGTAGGCAATAGAAAAAAAGTGGGAGAACAAAATACTTGTCTAAAGCAAAAGCAGACAGCTTTGTCGTTTAAATGTCCTGAATTTAAGGCTTAAATACTTATATGTATGTGTTATATACATACATATTAGGGTGGGCCAAAAAAAAACACGATTTTTTTTCGGTTGGTACACTGGAAAATATGTGTGTGTCCATTTTTGTAGAGCGACATTTCCTACAAAAGTATGAGATTTCCGATTTTTATTGATTTTTGTTTGCATTGAGTTATAAAATTCCGTTTTGTAGAGCATTTGGTTTCTAACAAAATCCATGAAACGAGATATTTTTTAAAGTAGATGGAAGCGAGATATGAATTTTTCAATCTAATAATAAAAAAAAACTGCAAAACTGTAAGATAGAGGACCTTCTTATTACAATTAAGAGCTCATACTTGGAGAGACTTTCTTAGAGGTGTTTAAGAACCAATTTTTCAGAGTACCAAGCGCAAAAAAAGTACCAATTTTTAAACCCCCCTAATACACATATATGTGTATGTTTAGATTATTTGTGTGAATTTGTGCGTGTCAACAGCGAATAAATGATCGTCAATAGCAAAACCAATGAGTATAAATTTAAGTGTATGTGTATGTTGAGAGAAAAGGATATGTTAAAAGGATTTGTGACATGTTTGGCAACAATACTTCGATAAATGAATAAACAAACCTTCTTATAAGAAGCTTTGATATGTCAACATATAGGTACATATACGAACGCACAAGCCCTACTGGAACCCATTGTAAAATCTACACTACATTAATAAAATTTGACACAACTGGCCCAGCACAAGTTTTTAGTCCTCTATTGCATCCAGATAAATATTTTTTTATATATAAAAACATTTTGGTATAATAGCGCCTAAAACCTGTATATGACACTCTTTTATAAGGACGCAATACATGTCTGAAACATGGTTGGCTTGCTCTTGTCAATAATTCCAAGTCAGATTGGGCCCTGGATTTGTTGATCTGATATCAATATATATAATCTTATAGGTGCAAACATCGAGACCCCAATTTTTTGACGTTAATTCTACAATTAGTAAGAAATAAAGACATTCTGCGGGTTGGCAGTGATAATTGGTAGAGTCTAAACTATCTTATGGAAAATTTATGCATAGAGGGATAATCTCTTCCGTTGTGAAATAATGTCGTCTAACTGTAAAATTATTAATATGGGAAGAATGTATATATGACCAACTAACTTGAGCTTATTTTTGTGGTCAAAGGCGTTACAAGGTTTAATGACATTCTCTTCTTTGCAAGTCTGTCAAATATTTAAGTAGCTCAGAAGTATCTTACTCAATAGCTATCTTCGATTCGCCAAGCTATATTCTCCAGCGAATCAAACCAACTATACCAGATGCTCAATCAAACGGGCAGCACATGTGGTGCAACCCTACGCCAACATGTCTTCGGACGCATGTGTAATAGTATTATGATTCTTTCTTCGTGGAGAAATGCTTTTTTTCGCATTACAAACGTTGCTGTAATCCTTTATTTTCGTTTTCTACAAATTACTATTATTTTTTTAAGTGTGAGTTTTAAAAATAAGAGAAAAAAGAGCTCAACTCAATAACTTTGTTGTTGATTTTAGATGTAATTTTTTTTTAGAAGAGAGCTGAAGAGAGCAGAGAAATGGCGAATCGAAGACAGTTAATATCATCTGCATCCAGTCTCCTGCTCAAATTAAAACCCTTGAAACTTTACTGAGCTCCTCATAACTGAATATTACTAAATCTCGTTTTCTTACCCACTCTCTCTCGGCGAGTTGGTTGTTACCTTTTACCCAAGAATTGCTTATTTCAATCTGGTTTGCAATACAAAGTTCGCATATCAGTTTGCATTTGTACAACGATTTCTGGAAATCATTTACTAATTTTTTTTCTCAGTTCTCTCTCAGATCATTGCTAGTATGATGTCACTAAAATATAATTCTCCACAACGATCCTTTTTGCCATACATCAGTCATGAGTTTTCGTATATTACTAGGCATACTCTTATAAGTAATTCTCAGAGGGTCTATACATATCTGTATATACATATGTATGTAAATGTATACAGTTATGCGGAGAACAATCAATAAAACTAAAATCAACAAATGTTTAAGTGAAAGCAAAAGTGAATTGATGAACTGAATGTAAAGCTCTAGCAGGTGGTGGGGCTTTCAGATAGGAGAAGCTTATGTGCGTCTGTATGTCTGCGTCGATGGTTAGTGGTTAGTTTGTATTTGTTAAGCAAACAAGTTGTCAACAGCATATTTAAGCGTGATTAAGTATATAAAAAAAGGATTTAGATGTCGCATTAAGATATAAATGAAAAGTACAAAAACACACACAAACATTATGTACATATGTATGTATATAGAAAAACGTAATGTAACGGCATTAGTTGAGTATAGATTTCCATTGTAACCGAGAGGATAAACAGTTTTGTATGCGTATTTAGTTGTAAGGTTGTAGGAAGATTGATAATTTGTTGAATTGGCGACAAGCAAAGGCAACAACAATAAGTAGTTGCGGCATGCTGAAGGGTGTAGACTCAAAAAAAGGCAAAAAAAAAAAAAATTAAAAGGAAATTGAATTGTTTATCTGTGGGAGGCAAAAAAAAAAAAAAATTAAAAGGAAATTGAATTGTTTATCTGTGGGAGGATTAGTTGGTATTTGATTGAACGATATTTAAAATCCCTTTGACGCCCAAATTTATCGCTCAAAAGACTGCAGTTAACTAAATGAAAAAATTTATTTATTTTCCCCACTCTATACTGTTTAGCTTCACTCCGTATCTTTTACTAATGCGCTGGTTTTTCATTTTCTCTCTTTTCGTGTCTAGGCTCTCTGCGGTGTGATCTTCCAAGTTCCTACAATGTCCGGCGATCGTTTGCGCATCAGCACCGTGATGGAAATCATCAAACCGAATACGGTGAAACGTATACAAGGCTACGGCTTGCCCTTCCCTAAGGACCCATCGCGAAAGGGTGATCTTTTGGTGGCGTTCGATATACAATTCCCGGAAAAGTTGACCTTCGAACAAAAGGAATTGCTCAAGGACTTGTTGACATGAGAGTGCAATAATACTAGTAAGCAGAGTTAAAGAAACAGTAGCAGTGAGCTAGAGCGTAGAAATGAGTGCGCAGAGTCTGTATATATATATATATATATGTATATGTGTACGAATGAGGCAAATGAGTGAACAGAAACAATAGAAATAAAGAATTACTTATATAATAGGAACAACTGCAGCTGATACCCCACATACATACATTTACATCGCCATACGAGAGTGAATCTTTTTGCAGACACCATTACAACAAAGAGGCAGTGCGTAAAATTTGCCAGTATCACTAACATTTACTGCCCAAAAGAGAAAAAAACAAAAAACTCTCGCTCTCTCTACCATCTATCAACCGTCTGCTTTGTCGTTTTTTTCCGATCAACAAACTCTTTCTTCACTCTCTAAACTTTTTTGTTTTGTGACAAATTACTTTTACTGTCTAGAATTTATTTAAATTAAAACGGAAAATAAATAATTTTTGTGTAAAGCAACTAAAATTACATTAAATGCAACATCTCTACGTCCTCTACATGTTTTAATTTTAATTTTAACTTTATTTTTTTGAAATAACATTAAATTATTAGAAAAACACTAAATTACTATGTGTTTTTTTTCTAATGGGCACAAGGGTACTTTACCATATTATAGAGCAATGGAGGAAAGGGGGAACTTTGAATTTGTGACAGCGAAGCATCACTATGAGAGCGATCCTCCCAAACGCTGTGAGGAAATTGCGAGTAGAACTCTTTTGCAGTAGTATTTACACAAAGAGCATGATCTCTATGGGCTAGTGTGACGTCAGTAAAATAATTGTCAAACTCGTTGAGCGTCAGACACTTAACCTAAGTACAAGAGTACAAGAGAATACGATTTTTCATGACTGTAAAAAAATATGCATGATTTCCATTACTAGATTTAAGGAATTAGGATTAGAATCCTAGACAAATGAAATGATGGAGGACGCATTGTAAGACATACATACATTCTATTTTGGTTTAAACAGCGGAAAACTATATTGTAACTGATAGTGTTCCCGTTGCTGCCTATCGTATTTGTTATTGGGTAATTTGTCTGAATTTCTTCCGAAAAAAATAAGTAAGAGATACCTTAAAGAATAATACTGTAATCTTTTTCATTAGTAATAGTATATGTAAGAGAGAGAGAGCAGTATCAAAATATATTGGTCGAATTGCTTAGATTTGTGTTTTAAGCCAAAATTTTGCTTTTATAGATATATATAGAAGATTCTTCAATGAAAAATAATCGAAAAACGTCGAATCATTTCTATTGTAAGAATTTGTATTCAATACTGTCTCAAGATCATATGATGTAGTTTCATATGCGTTGAAAATTATGGCTTAAAAACATTTTAGATCCCCTTAATCAAGGATTAGAACACTGCCGATAAAGTTTATAAGCTCCCTCGTCAACATGCCTATTATTGAGAACAATTGATTTCTTAGTACCTCCCAAAAGGAATACGTTCCAAAGATTGCAAAACTTTATGCCTAACTCATGGCATATGAGAAGCGACATAAGAATGCTGCTAAACTATTATTTTTCTTCTTTCCTGACGACCTGAAAAATATTGCAATTGAACCGCTATTCAAATCGACGCCTAAAAGTATACAACACTTACAGTAAATTACTTTTACAAAAATATAATTTTTTACTGCCTTAATTCACAGAACACAGAATAATGTCGAAATTTCGTGTAAGAAACTATTTCTTTGAATCATCTCTGATGCTGAGAGTTTCCAGACGGAGGTTGGAAATATTGAGTTGTTATTCATATTGGGAGATTGATTTACGAAAAATTTGATAATTCTAAGGCAATTATATAGGCTTTACGGAACTTATGTAAGGAATGTCGAGTTATTCTCTGTTCTGTATCAAAATCTAAGCCCAAATTTCTTTCACAATATTTTTGTAGAGAGTTTCTCTATTTTTTCTAAAAAATGGTATAAGCTCGATTGTGCTGGAGTTCCAAATTTATAGCTCTATTACTTTTCTTCGATTTTCAGAAATTACTTGCAGGAAGTTCTCTTAGTATTAGAGGAAGCGGTAAATCAGAAAAAATGCACCCATTCGCTTAGAACAAATTTAATTCTAAGATTTTTTGTTGAAAAATTATCGGAGTAGACGCTCATTCATATACATATATATACAACAGTTCTATTTTGTTGAACATGTATGAATATGCTTTCGAGAAACAAGAGCAATATTAATAACATCGTTAATAACGTAATTTTTTTTCGATGATCAAGGAATTTTAACCCTCATTTAGTGGAAAAGGTACTCGCAAAATCAAATCAAATTCCTAACAACAATACATGAGTACGCACACACATGTCAACATTTTTGCTGCCATAAAAAGGGTGTATGGGGAAACGCTCCACCATTGGGGTTGATTTATAATTTCGTTAAGAAAATATATTTCATATTTCATAAGGGGATTTAACTACATAGTAATACGCGTATATATTATATATGACTTCTGCCGGGCTCATCTAAAGGCATAATGAAGCATTGGCCACGCACTTCAGATAAGATTTCGTGAAAAAAACTTCTTATTTAAGGGTGCAAATGCACAGCTGGAGATATGCGTAGCAGCTGCAGAGGTGAGAAGTTTAAGTGCAACGTCTTCAGACGTGCATAAAGGCATATAAGCTTTCATATACATATAAGCCTACAATAACATAAATATTTACTATCTATGTACATATGTAAGTCGAAAACTGTGAAAATGATGTTTGCTAGTGGAGTAATACTCTCAATTACACATATAATATATATATGTGTTATGTGAATGCTCCAGAATTCTTCTTCTGAAGGCATATCTAATGAGCTTTTAATAAGAATGCGAATATGTGCACAGATGTGAGAGTTTTCTTTATATCTTGCAGGTAGAGTGAAGTGTTGATTGCCAGCGCTTAAGCTAATATTTGTATGTATGAGTGTCTTTATAAATAAACATATATATCAAGTATGCTGTTCATTTGCTGCGTTTTAGGTATTTTTTTTCGGAAGAGTAAGAGGTGGAGAAGTAGTAGTAGTTTCATAATTTAGTTCTACATCCAGGGGGTTTGAATTAATCCACAAATATATCAATCATTTATAAAGATCGTGGCCTGTCACCCGAGCATGATGAGGATTTATGAATATCCATAAATTAACTCAAAATATTTATTGAAAATATTGTTTCTAGGCATTAAAGAAACCTTGTAAAATACTTAGTCTATGTCCTTTCAAATTATGTTTTATTTGAAATTATCTTACGAATGGAGTGTTTTGCAAATCGAAACAACCTTAAACAATTCAATTTACTGATAAAAAAATTGTATTTGAAGAAATAAATGTGCTATTTATGTATCTTTGCACTCATGTAAGCATAGTTATAATGAAATTTATAATTATTGAAAGTCTACAACTCAAGTTCAAACTTAATCAAGAAAAACTATTATCCAATAGATGGCGCTGCCTTGAGTCTTTTTCAAGTGATTCTATTTACTTTTATTTTCTAAATAATGTGTATAAAGAAATATATGTTCTATATATCTATCTTCAAGATTTCAGACCACACTCATTGTGAAAATAGAATAGAAAAAAATTTCCTAATGTTGTCGGTACATACTTACTTCGGTTCTTCACGATGGAAGCTAGATATATTGCTACGGAACGACACATCCCTTGTATGAGAAGGTCCATGAAAGATGCTCAGTAAGGAACTGTATATAAAATTAGAAATAATAAAAGAGTTTTCTTTGTAGTCTCATGAAATCTCTCTATTTTTTCACTTCAATAAACACAATATGAACTGCCCTAAATTTACTGCTAAGATCAAGTTTTGGGAGAACAACAAGTGAGAGTCACACGCCTTTGTTCGTTTAATCGTTGACGTTCTTCGGGAATGGAAGTACCAGAATAACGGTGTACGTACGGGGAACAATAGATAAGTGTATAAAATAGATGGCATGAGGACATAGCTCCGTCGTCTACGTGATACCATAAATGTTGGCCTAGTAATCAATTTCTATTTAATTTGGACTACAAAAGCAAAATATTCGTGGAAAACCAAAGTAGAACTCACTTAAAAGAAGGATTTTACTGAAAGAAAGGAAAGGTAGTATGTAAAGGATAGTAGAAGGTATATTCAACTACCAGGTTTAGAAATAAGTAAAAAAAGCTAGTACACACTGAGGTCTGTAGTTGACATTAACTATACGGGAGAAAAACACGAAAAAAAGATTTTCCCCCAAGAAAGTGGTCGATTTCATCACATTATACGCACATAAAATTATGCTATAGCAAGCAAATACTAGATTTTCCAAATTTTAAAGTACAATTATTAATTTTTTTGGGTCTAATGTTTGCCTCATTTATCAAAAACGTGCATTGTCTTTCCATACCATCTTCTTCGTTTTTTCAGTTTCAGCGCAGTGTGAGTAACTTTCACAACATCATTATTCACCAATCGTAATCGATATTGAAAAATGAAAAATCCACCAAATTAATCTTCGACTACTTTCGTGCAACAATCATCTACAAACAATCAGCCAGGCGGCCCGCCAGACAGTAGATCCAACAGCCAGCTGCCAACTTTCACTGCCCCTCTGCGCTGCTTACCGCACACTCTCTGCTTTACCGCCTCACTACCTCACACGCCCACACTTTCGACGCTCGCTCGGTAACCCTACATCCACTTAAATTGTGGTCAGCACCGTTACGTGCAGCAACAGCAGTGGAACCGGCATCGATTTCAGTATCGGCCAACCACATTTGTGGTACAATTTATTGACTGGATTTGCCGGCGAGCACGTCTCGAACGACTTGCAACGGGAAGCGAATGAAAGAAAAATGCCCGAGGCAAAAAAACCACGAAATGCTGCTCCACCACAGCAGCAGCAAGAAGACAGGAGCAAAGCAAACCGATTAAAAAAATGCACAAGCAGATAGGAAATAACAAGCAAAGACTCAACTATGGAGAAGATTCACACATACATACGTATGTGCTAAAAAGTGTAGCGGTGTTTTAGTTGAAGGTGTGCGTTTGCTGGTCCAAGCAACTGTGACGAAGATGCATGAGAAGGCTCAACAGCGTCGAAGCGTGTTATTTAACCGAGAATTCAAAGCAATAGTCCAGCCGAGCTTGCCAGCGCCCTCCTTCACCGCCGTGCTAAACAATCATCCGAGCGCATACATATGTGGTTAGTCAAAAGTGTACGGGTGGGGCGCTGCGTGACTTGTGGTTAGTGTTCTTGCCGAGAATTAATGTGAAATGTTTATCCAATGTTTTGTGATGGACAAGAAGATGAACGTAGTGTAGTCGTTTGAGAGTTTATCGCACAGCGCCGAGATAAATTGGATGAACTGCTTGGATTGTTGCCCGTCAGACGCCAAATAACCAACAGGCAGACAGACTGGCCAGCAGGCAGGAAGACAAATAGACAGATAGAAAGCGAGGCATACGCAATCTTTGTATGTCCGTGCATTATAGACGTGTTTACTTGCAGTGGACGTGAAAAGCTG